TAACCACTATGCTACCAGAGCTCCTTAACAACAATACTAGGAACCTACAAAGAATCTAACTTGGTTGTTCTCTTTAAAGTCAGAAATGAGATATGAACCCTCATTACCACGGCTTTATCAACACCATACTGGAGGTCTTATAAAGGAAAATAAAAGTGGGGGAGATTTTGTTCACTGACAGTTGGTCATACATATAAGGCTTAGAAAATGTACCTAATTTCTGACCCAGCAACTCTACCACTATGAGCATACCATCACAGTAATTAAGACAGTGCACAGTGATGTTTGCAATAGGATACTCTCTCCAATACTATATACAATCAGAAATCACCTTTCTGACATTCTAGCATGAACCCAGAATGGAATATTAGTCACTGAAATTGAGGCCGTAGAAAAGCACCTACAGGGGGAACCAAACAGCTTTAAAGAGTATGTCCCATGTACCTGTACACACACCCACACACACACACACACGAAGGCACTGGAAAGACTTGTACCGGAATACTGAAAATTCCTTTGTTTTCTTTTGTGTTTTCCAAGAATTTTTAAATTAAGCATGTGTTACTTTTCTAATTAGGAAAAATAATGTATCTTAAATGCGCCCTCAAATGTTTACGTAGGCAGCAAAGAAAATGGCTCCAAAACAGTGTTCAGAGAGGTCTTATGAGGGGAGACAGGAGCAGCTGTTCACTGGATACCAGCTCTATTCATCTACAACCTGCAACGGCAAAAAGCTAAATTGCATTCTTATAGCCCTATTTTAGTAAAACAAAGGGAAATGACAAATCTAAAGGTTAATTTCAAGTATACACATACACAGACATTTAAATAAACACTCTTACTAAGCAAATTTATAAACCACCTATGCCAGCTATAGGCCATCTGCAATCTAGCGATCACACTGGGTCAGATGGGCTTCTTAAGCTGCTTCTCTGGTTCACCGTGACCAGGGGGTGGGTGTTGAGGTATGAAGGGGGAGGACAATGTAGCAACAGTATTTTATGCTTGCTCTCAGGTAGAAAATGGCATCCAGATACAACAGTGAGAATCTTTTTTGCATATATCTTTGTAATCAATACAATTTTTTCAGAACAAGAGACCAAAATAAAAATACAGTGTTCCAAACAATTACAGCTCATAGACAGACATTACAAACTAGGTTTAGATCAGTTGTAGGCATATGTAAGAGAACTGATTGCAGAGGTATCAGAATGAGTCATTTCCCAGCGTTAAGTGTTGAGAGGGTACAGACATGTCTAAAGAAATTGCTACTTGTTAATAAGCACTTTTGGTGCTTGCATACAATGTCCAGTACACAGAGAAGATAAATCATTACTGGTCTTTGTACATGCTGTGTGGTAGAGGCTACTGCAGATTTCTTTATTTTCTAAAATAGACAAGTTCATAAATTGACCAATTCAATTCACATTGTGTCTACCTGGTACAAGGCATGCATATTATCGGTACAGAGGAGTGCTTTGTCATTTAAAGGTCATTTTACCTGAAAGGACTATGATTCTGTCGGTTACTTACTCACTCAGAAAATACTTTTCTAAAACCTTGTGCCATAACACAGTAGAGAGAGACAATGTTCTATACCTTAGTTTAGTGGATAATGTCTGTGGTCTTAAAAGGGGTGATCATCAGCCACATAAGACACAACTAGTGTCTCTTGCCGCCTGGAACAAAGGAGAAAAAAAACAACAACCCCAAAATCTCATGGAAGCAATTAGTGCAAAGGACTAATGGTCCACATGACCTGAGACCCAAAGTGCCCAGCTACTAACTCTTCTGACCAAGGACACAATAGAAGGTTCCAGTTAGAATGGAAGAAAAATGTAGAAAACTCCAATTCATTAAAAATGGTCAGACATACTGGTCTGACAGAGACTGGGGAAGGCCCCGAGACTGCTGCCCTAAGTCACCCTTCTAATACGGAACTGAAGCCACTCTGGGGGCCACCTCTTAACCAAACAGACTGGCCTATAAAATAAACAATAACGTTTGTGAAGACTGTGCTCCTTAGAACAATCAACTACATGAGACGAAAAGGGCACCATTTGCCGAAAAACAAAGATATGAAGCCAGGAAGGGGTACAGGATCCAGACAAATGGAAAAGAGGAACCCAGTGTAGAAACAGAGGGGGTGTTGATACATTGCAGAAATTGCAACCAATGTCATGGGGCACTTTGTGTATGGATGATTGAATAGAAAATTAATCTGCTTTGTAAACTTTCAACTAAAGCACAACAAAATGATTTTAAAAATGTAAAAACAGAAACCACCTTATGCCATCAAATCCATCCCCTTTCTGGGCAGAGCAACACCAGGAAAGGAGCTTGTTTGCAGCACAACATGTGCTACTAACCTTAAGACAGTTGGAAGATAGCCATGGTGCAATCCTAAAAACTCAGAGTAAGTGCCTCCATCCTCATCACCCACCCTAGAACATTAGAGTGCTAGGGAGCTGACTCAAGAGAGGAGGTGCACTTTTCTATTCAATCAGAATTAACTCAGGAGAGAACATGACTATTCTGCCTCACTTGGGATGGAGGAGGAGAGAATAATACGAGGTGGAATGATTGTTATTTGTAAAGTTTAGCAGATGGAAGGAAAACGTGTCATTGGTTTCACTTTGGAAACACTGTTGGTCTCTTCCCCGTGGGTGGTAGGCAAAGTGAGCCCAGCTCTCCACCTACACCCTTCCAAGACTCAGGTTGTGGGCATGACTACCTTTTAATAAAGAAGCTACAGGCTAACTTCAGATGTCACAGAATTCAAAACCAAAACTGCTATCACTTAGTCATATTTTCCATCTTCTGTTCATATGTGGGTAAAAATATCACGAAGAGGATAAAATTGGCTTTCTCATTGTGTATGTCATTCTTGTGTCTTGTATACAAAAAGCCCACATAATCACATTTGCTATCTTATTATAAAAATTAGTACTTGTTATAGGAAAAGCCCTCTCTAAAACTATAGCTTCAGTTTCAGAATTAGCAATTCAATTAGATGAACTTAATATTGACTACATTAACAATATTCCTGCAAACATCTCTCAGGTCTTCCAGAGATGAGGATAAAGACGCTGAGTCTATTCTTTGAATGATGGTGGAAAAAGAGGGCTTGGGAGTGAGCCTGTTGTTTAACCAGGGGATATCCACATGGATCATTAAAAAAATGAGCTACATTTGCAAGAGAAGAAGGTCAGAGCTGGTTTTGTAACACTCAGTGCCATTTGAAGTAAAGTCTTATCAGTCAGGAAGAAGGTGGGAAATGGCTTTACTGTCTTGGATTTTATGACCTATGTAGCCACTACATCTTTATACAAAGAACATTAAACTGGACTATTGCACTGAAGAATATGTGGCTAAGTCACACTGAATACCGGAGTATAAACCTGGAGTAACTGAAGTGTGACCTCACCTCTGTGTGACGGAGTTCCCAGCTGTCTCTGACCCAGGGGGACCAGGAAGAATGGGTAAGAGAGAGCTAGAAAGCACTGCAGTCTTTTCCGAAGAAAGGCAGTGTTCAAGTAAGAAAGAACACAACAAGGTATTCCGATAAAAACAAAAACAAAAAAACCCCACAAAACACAAAATTCAAGTAACAGAGTCACAGGTGCTGGCTTCTGGCTTCAGAGCGGGAGTGTCTTGGAGTGGAGACCATGCCGCATCATGGAGCGCAGGTGGGTGAGAGAGGTACACGGGAGAGGACTCACGTCTAGAGCACATTGAGTCATTCACAGCACCGAGGACCAAAGCTCACCTGGAGAGGAGAAAACAAATCCTGGGAAAAACAGTCTAATTTGCAGGGCTGTTCACAGTCATTGCTTCATCCATGTCATGTGTGTTCTCTGCACAAGATCTTCAAATTGGGTATTGGCTTAAATTTCAACAGACTAAAGGTTTTCTTCATTTTCCAGATACAAATTGAAAGCTACTTAGGTCTTCCTCCTGCCTTTGAGCATAAGAATAGAAAACAATTTTGAGACTGGATTAAAGAAACTGAGAGGAAACACACATGGATATTCCCCCAGTAGGACAAAAAGATAAATCCTCAAGCTTTCTGCAACTAAAAACTTAACTTTCTTTTGACAACTTCTGTTCTCCCAAGCTAGTGTGTGCATGCTTTAGTATTAAAAACACTCAGAAAACTGGAATGATTGGGGGGTGGGGGCATTGTCATGGGGATCCTGAAGGCCCACAGAACAGGGAGAAAGAAGAGGGGTTAAAAGGCTGGCTATCTAGTCTTTTCTAAACAGCTCACAATGAAAAATGGAAAAACTTTACACTTTAAAATCACAACATTTATTTTGCTGTCAGAATCCACTTCCTCAGTTCTCAAGTGGATGTCAGTAACTGTCCCCTGTGGGAACATCCCTCTTCCAGCTCTCATAAAACTTGCCATTCCCATTTTGTGGATGGTTGCTCATCCCTGAACCTCTCTATCTGTTTTCCTGGGACAATTCAACCTCATTTGGGTCCATGCAGCTGGAACCCTTATATCACCACAGAGATGTGCAGCAAAGCCAGTTCTGGAAGACATCATCGTATCTTAGTGCCACCATTTCCACCACCAGGTTTGCTGAAGCCCCTGCTCATCTGAGGGAAGTGCACAGTTGGTGTTCTTTCTGTGGGACCGTATAATCCTAAATTCCTGGCAGTGGCTGACTTCCGGAGTGGCTTGACACTGGGAAAGGGGCTGAAGATGGGAGTTTTAGGGTTGCTGCCTTGGGGAGTTTTGCTGGTGGCTTTGTTTTCTCCAAGTGTATCAGGCAGTTCTGGGATGTACTGCTGACCAGGCAGGTAAACACTGGGCTCAGTTTCAGCCACAGCATCCTTTTGGTTCAATTCCAAGCCTTCTAACTTCACTTGAACTTCAGATACACTGGCATCAGCATCCCCAAATACTGGCTCTGGGGACTGTCCTTCAATTGTCCTCCCTATGCTGCCCTCCAAGCTGCTGTCTTCTCTCCGAGCTGCCTTTGCCATCTCCAGGCTGCTAGTTTTGCAGCCCTCATTCTGCTCTTCTATCAGCCCAATGGTGTCCCCACAGCCCGGCTGGCTCTTGGTCCTCGTCATGGTCTTTTTGTGGACTCGGATGTGAGTTCGCCATGGAGAGTTGAGCTTCGTCTTAAGATCTTCGTAAGAAACAGGAGAGAGTTTGCCTCCTGTGTGACCAGGGATGTGGATGACAGCATTCTTGGCAGCTCTGTTACTCATCTTCATCTTCTTTCCTAAAAGAAGGTGGTTTATAACTGGAGAATTGTTGACCTGAGACGGGAGGAGGTTGGTCACTGGCCCTTTGTCTGAAAGAAATGTTAAAAAGCTGTGTGAAACACATCCATCATGGAAAAGAAATCACAGAGTCATGTGACTGATGGCAGCAGAACTGAATTCCACCATGGAGCCCAGGGTACCGATTCCCTCTTCTTCAAAGAGGCGAAGACCCTGACCCCCCTCATTACTAATTATACTACAGGCTCCCTCATGTTTTTATACAGATAATGTTGTCACTGAGCAACAACCTCAAAGTTCTTTCATTGAGAGAATCTTTGAAGCTTTTCTAAAATCATGAGACATAGCATATGGGCTATCAGCTGTCAACCTCTGAAGGGTGGGAAAAGAAAACACTGCACATTATGAAGTGAGAGACCGCAGAATAAGAGAAGTGATGAGAAGAGAGTATGTAATCACATCTATCCAGTGCCTGGTCCTTAGTACCAAAAAACACCTTGGTGTCCTTGTTGTACTTCAAACAAATGGAAAAATAGAAAGTACCAAAAGTTGTGTTCTCCTGGAAAGCACTGTTAATAGCATCTCACTCCTGTGGCCATGACTGGGTCCCTTTCTCAGCGTCTATCTCTGAGAGACAGCACAAAACAGACCAGGCCCCAGGGAAGGCAGCAGAGGTGGAAGGAGCAGAAAGCAGGCCCCTCTGTCTTTGTGTATGCCTCCTTCGTGTTTATGTCATCTGGCCGAACTTTCTTCCACACTTCTCTACTGTTGTTATCCACCATGCGTCACATCCCAGTCTTCACTGAAGACATGAACACCTGCTTCCTCTTCACCCAATTGTCCTACCACCTCCTTCACTGATTTTACTGCCTCTGTGAGCAACCCATCCATTAGCTATCTTCAGAGTTCTCCAACCTCACCAGTTCCATGACCTTGAACTCCATTCTATACCTATGCTAACATCTTAAACCTTATCACCCAGATTCACATGACATGAAAACTAATTAACTCGAATACTATTCTCTTTGACTTGGCTAGCTCTCTTGCTCTCAATCTAACTAGATCTGGTACTGAACCATAGAGATTTCTAGGGCATTGATCCTTCATTCTTCTTATAACCTCTCCTCCAACTTTGACTCTGTTTTACCCCTACTCTGCCTAGAAGTCTGGCTGATAACCTGGACTGCTGTCTCACCAATAATCACATATTCCAGGGGTCCCTATCTCTCTGTCACACATGCCTGGAAGACCCCAGCCCTAGACACACAATCCATACTCTCTATGGAAATCTGAGATGCTAATGGCTATTGTTGTTGTTGTTAAGTGCCGTCGAGTCGGTTCCGACCCATAGCGACCCTGTACAGGGTTTCCGAGGGTGTAATCCTTACGGGAGTAGAAAGCCTCATCTTTCTCCCGTGGAACGGCTGGTAGTTTCGAACCGCTGACCTTAAGGTTCGCAGCCCGATTCATAACCACTACGCTACCAGAGGATTTACACCCTTGGAAACCCTGTACAGGGTTGCTATGGGTCGGACCCAACTCAACGGCACTTAACAACAATGGCTATTAGAGGGGGTAAAAAATCACAAGGGCCAAAGACTAATAGCCCCTCAAGTTAATAATTTTCTGTTTTGTTGGTTTTGCAATACCGCTGAACAATATTTTCTTTCCCTCTCCCATCCCCTTCAATAACCTATCCATATCTTTATTATTTTTCTGTGAGTTCCCATGCAAACTCCAACTTATTCCCAGCAAATGCCTTTCTCCAATTACTCCATGAAAACTGTAGATAATCGGGTATGGAAGCCTCAACTTCTTGCTCTCCCTAGCCTCCCAGGAACCATCCTCCTCCTCAACATCTTCCTTTAAGTCTCAAAAAAGTGGACAAGTCTTTCACCTTTGTTCAAGGCCAATCTCTCCACCGGCTGTTAATTCTGTCCTATAAAATCTTACTACTCAAAATATGGTCCTAACCCAGAACCACCAAGGAGCTTGTTGGAAATGCAAACGAACATTATGAATACCACCAGAATATTGTCAGATACAGTGCCGGAAGATAAGCCCCTCAGGTTAGAAGGCACTCAAAATATGACATGAGCGTAAAGTTGACCATAATGATGTGAATGAAGCAATGTTTTGGGGACCTTCATTTGTTGATGAAGCACAACTCAAAATGAGAAGCAACAGCTACAAATATCCATTAATAATCAGAACATGGAATATATGAAGTATGAACCTAGGAAAATTGTTAAGTTGTCAAAAATGAAACGGAATGCATAAAGATTGGTATCCTAGAACTACTGAGCTGAAATGGACTGGTGTTGACCATTTTGAGTCTGAGAAGCATATAATTTACTATGCCAGGAACATCAATTTAAAGAAGAATGGCATCGCATTCACTACCAAAAAGAAGGTCTCAAGATCTACTTGAAGTACAACGCCATCTGTGATATGATAGTATCAATACAACTACAAGGAAGACAAGTTAATACCACTATTGTCCAGATTTATGCACCGACCACTAAAGCAATATGATGAAATTGAAGAATCCTATCAATTTCTTCAGTCTGAAATTGATCAAACATATAATCATGATGCACTGATAATTACTGGTGATTGGAATGCAAAATAAGAAGCAAAGAAAAAAGAAATCAGTAGTTGGAAAATATGGCTTTGGTGATAGACATGATGCTGTAGATTGCATGAAAGAATTCTGCAAGAACAATGACTTACTCACTGAAAACCGCTTTTTGAAATGAGTAAGTCATTGTCCATGTGTATAGTCAAAGGACCTCAACAGATGGAACATACTGGAATCTAATTGACTACATCTCTGGGAAGAGACGATAAGAAGTTCAATATCATCAGCTAAAACAAGGCCAGAGGCAGACTATGGAACAGTTCATCAATTGCTCCTATATAAGTTCAGGCTAAAGCAGAAGAAAATTAAAACAAGTCCACAAGAACCAAAATATGACCTTGAACATATCCCACCTGAATTCAGAGATCATCTGAGGAACAGATTTGCTGCATAATAACCAAAGATCAGAAGAACTGTGGGTTGACATCAAGAACATTATACAAAAAGAAAGCAAAATGTCTTTTAAGACAGGAAAGAAAAGGCCAAAATGGGTATCAGAAGAGACTCTGAAACTTGCTCTCCAGAATAGAGAAAGTAAACTGAACAGAAGAAATGAGGAAGTAAAAAAGCTGAAAAGAAAATGTCAAAGAACACCTCAGGAATAAAAAGTCAAGCATTATAAAGAAATGTGCCAAGATCTGGAATTAGAAAGGCAAAAGGGAAGAACATGCTTAGCATTTCTCAAGCTGAAGAAAAAAATTCAAGCCTCCACTTCAACATAGAAAGACTGTTTAGGTAAAATATTGAGTGATGCAGAAAGCATCAAAAGAAGATAGTACCCATTTGACCTAGCTTCAATGGCTGGATGATCAGAACTCAACTAGAGGAAGAAAGAAGAGGAAAAAAGTATTTGTGTACTTATTGTTGGTGACGGCTTTTGCACTAGAACAACAGAACTGAGAGTTATTACAGAGACCATATGGCTGTAAAACCTAAATACTTACCATCTGGCCCCTTACACAGAAAGCTGACCAACGTCTGAGCTAAATAACAGACTAAGTGGTGACGAAAAAGAGGCTTCACAAGTTTGTGGGAAAATGAGATGAAAAATTAATAGAATTTTTTCCGTGAACTTTTTAAATCCTTTCATATGTATCCATCCAATTTAAAAATCATTGTAAATATTTCCAATAAATAAAAAAGAAAAATATGGTTTGTGAAATCTAAACCCCATTTTTAAAAGTGGCATTTAATTTTCATTTTGTTGCAGACGGCATCTAATGCCTCTCCCCTTTGCACACTGTGCCCCAACCTCATTGGCCACCTCACATTTCCTCACATTTGGCAGACACATCCCTTCCTTAAGGCGTTGGGACCAATGGTAATTCCCTAAATCTGAAATGCCCTTACCCTAGCTACCTGGAGTTCTAACTTGAACCCTACAGCCGTGGTCCAGTGTTACCTCCTCAATTATTTTAAACACCCAGTTTCAAAATCTAGCCAGCCACGGTCACTGTTTACCAAAAATAATTGGCTAATGTTCAATCATTTCAAAAGGTATCACATGATCAAGAACCAATGGTGCTGAGGGAAGAAATCAAAGAATCACTGAAAGCAATGGTGAAAAATAAGGCTCTAGGAATTGATGGAATACTGATTGAAATGTTTCAACAAGCTGATGCAGCACTGAAGGTGCTCACTCATTTATGTCAAAAAATATGGACGACAGCTATTTGGCCAACTGATATGAAGAGGTCCATATTTGTGCCCATTCCAAAGATGGGTGACCCAATAGAATACAGATATCATCAAACAACATCATTAAAATCATATGCAAGTAAAGTTCTGCTGAAGATCATTCACAAATGATTGCAAGAGTACAAGGACAGGAAGCTGCTAGAAATTCAAGCTGGATTCAGAAAAGGATGTGGAATGAGGGGTATCATTGCAAATGTCAGATGGATCTTGGCTACTAGGAGAGAACACCAGAGAGATGTTTACTTGAGCTTTATTGACCATGCAAACACTTCCAAATGTGTGGATCATAACAAACTATGGATAACATTGCAAAAAATAGGGATTCCTGAACACTTAATTGTGCTCATGAAGACATGTACATCGACCAAGAGGCCGTCATGAGAACAGAAGGGGACACTGAGTGGTTTAAAAATCAGGACTCAGGGTCATATCCTTTTACCACACCTATTCAATCTGTATGCTGAGCAAATAAACCATGAAGTTGGATTATATGATGAAGAACATGGCAACAGGAATAAAGAAAGATGCATTAACAACCTGTGATACCAGATAATACAATCTTGATTGCTCGAAGTGAAGAGGACTTGAAATGCTTACTGATGAAGATCAAAGACTACAACCTTCAATGTGGATGGCAGTCCAATGTAAAGAACCCTCACAACTGGACCAATACATAACAATATCATAATAAATGGGGGAAAGAGTGAAGTTATCAAAGGCTTCAGTTTGCTT